TCCAAACCTTAATGTTACTTCTCTGAGGTTGCACAGTGTTCCTAAACCGTTCTCTTCTGGTTAGTCAGCCCCGTCCTAAATCTTAAATGCTCATTTTTGATCTGTCGAAGGGCTTAAGTGAAGCAAGGCAGAGTGCACTCGTATTCAGGGTATGTGTTAATGTCCGTGTTCAGCTTTTTGGTGCAATTTAAAAAACCAAAACACAGCAAAGTAAGAAAATAGGATTACGTCTGGCATGGAGGTATTTCTTTTGCCATTGTGTTGATGGAACTTTTCATTTTTTAATTGTGCACAAATGGCAGAACTTCACTTTTCTGGTTTTTTTTTCCTAATGTAACCAATTTAAATCTAAGTGTGGTTTCTACCATATGCTTGTTTCAACCATATTTGCAGTTAAAGAAATATTTCCAAAACATACAAGTTCAGGGAAAATACACTGTTAACCATGAATCTGTGTAGATACTAATTTTTGAGGGTGATGCTAGCAAGAGAAAAAAATTGATCTACCTGGCTTGAAACTAAATGGTACAGAGTTTACTTTAAGGAGAGAAAACTGCAGGATTTTTTCTCATCAGCTTGGTCAAAGAGTATGTATTGTGAAGAAGGCTGAGACACCCACCTGTGCTTAGAAGGTTCTCTGGTACCATAATAGAAGGTACTCTGCACATTTTGAAAGAAGGGGCAATACACCCTGAAGCAGCTGATGTTAAAAGCTGTCGTCATGAGAAGAATTTTAGTCTTGAGCATGTGTTTGAATTTTTGTTGTCTGTAAATTACTGATGCAGTGCAGCAAGATGAGTATAACCAGTTTATAAACTGAGTTGGTAAGTTTAAAATACAAAGTGCTACTTTGGCACAGAACAGTAGGGCTTGTAAATAATGTGTTTGTATGATCAACTTGGTATGCAGAAAGGAGTTTTTCTGTGTCTCATCATTCAGGGAAAAGATGAATTTTCTGCTTGAGCTTGCACTGGTGGTTGTAAATGTTCAGCACAAATGCAGTAGCGTGAGTAGAATAACATGGAAACACAGCACAACAAAAGGAAAGCAGTAAGAAAAAGGCAACATTCTGTTTCCTGACAGAAGATGATGGATGACAATCTCTTAAGTAAATGTGTATAATTGTCTACAGTACATCTGTAACAAATGGTATCAGTGGTGGATTTTTATTACATTTTATCCATGTCTCAGGAAGATAGTGATGACCAAATTCAAGGTATGTTTGTGTGATGGACATGGGCCGACTCCTGAGTCGGACTGAGTCCTGGCAGGTGGGATTTGGGGAGGTTTCTTCTGGAGGTCGAGGGAGCACGTCTGGCTTTCAAGAGCCCCGCGTATGCAGTATAGAAGAGGCAGGGAGAGGCTGAAAAAAGAAAGCAGCCTGCGGGAGAAGCACAGGCTGGGAGACATCGAGTGACAGGGAAGCTGTTCTTGTGGCAAGGAGCGGCCGGAGCCACAGAGGAGATGAGGGGGAGATGGAGGAGAGTTGGTGAGCTCTGGGAGCCGCTGGAAATTGCTGTCTCCTGAAAGAGAGTAAGGAATTCTCCCCACAGAAGGAGAGTAGTGATTCTTCTCAAGTCTTCCTGCTTGCTGTTTGTTTTCCTCTATTAGAGAGTGCATTTTGGTTCGGTTTGCTTTTGTCTGATAAAAGCTTGTTCGTATGCTCCGGTGTCTCTGTGGTGTATGCGTGTAAAACAGTGAGGGCCAGAGGGGCGGTTTTGGATAATTTTAGCTAAAGGCTGCAGCTGACTTGGTTTGCAGAGGTGTTACTATTTGTGATTGTCTCTGTAAAAGAAATGATGTTATGTGTCAATAACTGTATTTTTACAAAATTAAGAAAAGACACTCTGTTTTTCTCTTGAGGAAGAAAATGATCTGTAGGACCCTAAAATTTAAAACAAATTGGGAGAAAAGAGAAGGCGTTGTAGCCAGTGGTCAAACAATCCAGTTGTTCTTGTGCAAGCAGGGAAGCGTTCCAGACAAGCACCATGAATTTCATAGCCTCGTGGCAATAAGCAAAAGCTTGCAGGAATAAAAAGAAAGCAGATAGCTGCAAGGCCATCCCCAAACTGTAAAACAGTATTCTCTGTAATCCTGCTGCTCCTGTGAACTTTGGGTTCAAAGTTCAGACTGCTGTAAACTGAGCACTGGATAGTGTCATTTTGCTTCGATTTCTCTGGAAAACAGTGGTGGAAAGCAAGTGGAGGGAGGTCTGCAAAACTGAGGATGGGGGGATGTGGTAAACACAGCACCTTGCAGCGGTCAGTGCAGGGAGTAGCCAGAAGTGCTGGGGTGGGTCCTGTCTCACTAGACAAGCTTTGTGTGGGTGTGCGGTGCAGGAGACATCACCTCGCAGCTGCTGTGGGAGCTGGGAGGCCCTGGGGCAAAGGACGGTCCTGTCGCCCAGCAGTCACGGTGATGGGAGGCTTCATCTTTCTCTCAGCCAGAGGAATGAGAGAAAATGCGGATTTTGTTGTAGAAGACAGCTCAGGAAAAGGAGAGATCTAATTTCAGAGTGTTGGCTTTGGGAAAAGGAGTGAGCTTGATAAAAGTGATTTTGTTTGTTTGTTTGGGTTCCCCTGTGCTGTGCGCGGCCCCCCTTTGGCCTCTGACTGTGGGGAATTTTTTTTACCCTCTTTGACTTCCTGTTGATTTCTCACTGTCGAAGAAGGAGGGCAGAAATGCAAAAAGGGGCTGGCATGATGGCCTTGAAGAGCAGAAGGAACAGGATGTTTTAATTTGAATTTGGACTATGGCTCATTGAGTTGTGAAAGTTTTACAAATAAAAGTGCCAACGCAGAGGGCTTCCTGGTAGTTTAGCAAGAGTGTTTCTCTGTGCTATTCATGTCTACGTCAAAAGGAGTTGGAGATGGTGCTGAATCGTACAAAAGTGTCTCAGCATCTGTTTTCAAACAGTTTTATTGAAGAGAGATTGAAAATTGGATACAGATCACCAGAAGAACTTTGGTCATACATGGGGAATAAAATATTTTAAGGAATAAGTATTTATCTTAACAAAAGGAATAACTTAAAAATGGACCACTTTTTGTCTTTTATATGCCTTTGTATCAAATGTGCTTTGAGGGAAAAAATTTCAGCACCATGTGAAGAAGAGGAATATTTGAGTGGAGGGATCTGATTCGTTTTGACCTACTGACACCTTTGGAAAATCGTACAAAATGGATAAATTTGGTGATCAATCCATTTCTTCAGAATCTTCATGTAAAAATAGTCATAGCTCTTAGTATCAAAATGATAATCCCTTGGGACTAAAAAACAATATTCACCTTTTGATTTTTGAGGATTTGCTCAATACCAGAACACAAATTTAAGTCTGTCTTTTGCTTTTCTTAGTGGTTTCCTGCAGAAGTGGAGATAGAAGGGATTACCTGTGTATAAAAACTGGCTCACTGTGAGGAAGGGTAAGAGCATTGGGTTCTCTAGTGTTCCTCAGTGTCAGGTGCTGGTGTTTATTCCAGCTATTATTACAAAGTTGTGCTGAGAGTGAATGTGGTACAGTCACTCCGGCTTTGTTAGCATCTCTTTAATGAGGAAACTGTTGCACATTCAAACTTCTATTACAGAGCCAGTAATTATTCCTGCCATCAGTCCTAGCCACTATAATTAATAATATAACTGACAGTTATAATATTTTTTTACTCACTTGCCACATTTGAAAAATTCTTCTCTTAGACCAAAATTCTCTTCAATTTTTTTGTTTGCGTATGGGTAAATGATTTTGGAAAGACCATGAGGGGGAAGTAATTTTTCTTTAATTTCATTTTGGATAACGTGAGAAATTCCTTTCTCACATTACTAAAAATGTGTTCTCTCTTACCCCACCTGGAAGTTTTTCATAGTGTGTTATGTTAACTGGATGGCTGTGTTGCTAGAAGCTGCTGGCTGGTCTTTGAGGCTATTCACAGACAGCAGGTGAATAGACATGAATAGGTGGTGAGTCTAACTGGAGATGTCTGTAGGAGGAAGCTGTTTAGTCTACAGCTTCTCCAAAACAACTGCAACTGCCTATGTGCGTTCCCTGGGAATCCTGGCAGCCAGTAGTGGGAGGCAGAATAAATGCTGTGAATAAAATCTCTTCCCTGTCTCCTCTTTCTATCCTTGGTTGGGCTGTCTCTGCAGAGCCAGCCCAAGGTATGTTAGATACTAAATGAAGTTAATGGAGAGTGTTATCCATTTATCCTCCAACTGCCTCTGTACCCAAAAACCTGTGCCTGATCTGTTGTTTGCATGCGTCACGTTGGGACGGCACAGAAGTAGTGGTGATGGCTATTGCATCTTGTGACCTTATGGAAATGAAATGTATGACCGTATATATATATGGTCATGCCATCATATTCAAAGCAACCTTCCACACAGGTTAAATGTGGGCTAATTGGTGTGGGAGAGGCATGCAGTTGCTCAGTCTGGCTTTTGGACATACACCGAGAGAAAGTAAGGAACGGTTGAAAATGAGATTGTGAGATCCCGGTTTGGTGGGCTAATGCAGAACAGCACAATGAGGGCTGTCCTTAGTTTGGAGTGAAAGGCTTTAGACCATGTTCTGATTTAGTTATGTAGCCGCTACCCGTTGTAGGAACTAACAATAGCAGTCCACTTCTTCCTGCGCTCACAGTTATTCCTTAGATCAAGCATATGATTTCCTTGTCAGAACTTGATAGTACATGTGGTCACAGATACATGCAACTGCTCATTTGTTTTTCTGAGAAGGTGCCTTTTTCTCCTGTTTGTCAGCAGTTTTCACCTAATTTAGCAGCTCATGGATGAAAGTCTGTATAACAGAGCTTAAAATGTTCTCATTTCTTCATCTTAGTAAATACTAAATGACACAACCCCATCAAATCTAGTAATTTACCAGGTGGATATTGCCACAGATAAACCTACATTTAAGCACTGTACAATTCTCTTCGTTAAATCGCATGAAGCTTTACCTTGTGTTCCTGTAGCGCCCTTGAACCATTGCTCTTTATTTTGTGTTTTAGGCACGCCGCTTCTAGTACGAAGGAGCAGTGATCCAGCTTTGGGCCCACCTGCTGACTTCCACCCAAGTGCTTCTCATCCCAGTGACCACAGTCTCAAGCATGTTGTGGCAGTAGGTGTCATGTAACTCACCTTTTTCTTAAGGGCAAAACCTGTTCTTACCTGTTAGCATATAGCAGTTTTATAAGCTAGATACGAATTTGAATCTGAAACAAAGTGCCTCATACTCGTTTATTGTAAAGGAGAGAATTTCCTCTGGACAAAACGGTTATTTTAGATGATACAGTAAGTTAACAGTGGTTCTCTTTTTTTAAAATGAGAGATTTACATAAAGCTCAATGGTGACAGAAGGCACTGGAATATGAACTGAACTTTTAGCAATTGTTTATTTGTTCAGTGTCATATTGTCCATTTTACCATTGCTTAGCAGAAAAAATGTACTTCCTCTTTAATATGCTTTATTGGTCTCGCACCCTTTTTCACTTCCCTTATTTTCTTGTGGCATTTCTGTGTTCCTTTGGCACCCTGCTGCTATCCTGCATGGTGTCTTCTTTCTCTCACTTTTCTGTTTTGCAACCTGACCCTTCCCTTTTGAGGATAAATTTATTTTCAGCATAGTTATTACTAAATATTAGTGCAGAGACACAATTAGTGAGGATGCAGTAACTCTTAATCAGATGTTACTGCAGGCTGTCTTCAACCTTCTGGAAGTGATACTGTCTTGGTCTCACTTGGGCCACGTTTTTTACTTTGCAGTTTTAAGGCCTGAAGCTTTGTGTTTTTGCATGTGAGGAAGGTGTTCCTCTATTAAGTATAAAAAAGATTAAATACTTCAGAATATCTGAATATCAGCTGGGATACAGAAGAGTAGCAAGCAGAATAGAGCCTTTTCATAGCCTTGATGTTTGCCTAGAAAGCTCTGGTGGGTCTGCTTCTGCACTGCTTTGTGCCAAATGAACACTGGGTTAAATCATGGCACAGTGGCACATGCTTTCGTTTGCTTGTGAACTTTGTGCCTTTTCCCCTTTAGCTTCCCTGTACGTTGTTGCAGTTCACTCTCTGTCCCCAGTTGTGTAAACCAATCTATCACTGTTTTGTTTCAAAATAAAGCACACTCGGAAACCCCTAGTCTCTTCCTTGGTGTGAGGGGGTCGTTTCAGCCTAGATCAGCACTAGTTTATAGCAGGATTCCACAGATGGCCATACTGGCACATGAGGGAGCAGGAGAAATGAACTGGTGTTCAGCAACAGATGCTGGAGGTGGGAACCCTTTCAGCTGATGTATTTAAGACCATACTTCCAGTTAAACTCATGTGAATGAGGTAAGTAAATAGAAACTCAGATGACTTGCATATAAATGGTATTTTATGGGTCCCAGTCTTAACTCTGTAATTCTGAACTCTAACACAGGATTTTAGTTGACAGTTCATTGTTTCTCTTTGCATAGCCAAAAGTGTGTATCTAAATATTTAGTGTACATCTTATTTTGCAGTGGCTTGTGTTATTTGCCAAGTAGTGCAATTTTAGAAGTGCTTGTGACTCTCCCAAGTACGTTATGGTGTTACAGGGGGCTGAACTTTGTCAAAGTGCTGTGTCATTCATCAGACATGTTTGGGCTGAGAGGTTTTCCTTGATGTTTGCTGCAAGCACTCACATATTAATGAAATACTGGCTTCGTCTGGTAAATGAAAGTCCAAAGAAGAATTCTGGGTTTACAGTGCAGATCTTACTGTCTTTGCAAAGTTGATGAAGGTGTATGTCAGTATGTAATGCTGACCTCTGGTATTTTATAACCATGAAAGTTGAAAAAAAGTGGAAAAATTGGTGACATTTGTTGCATTCCAGGACAAGTTTTGAATGCTTTATTTTTGACTGTCAAGGAGAGAAAGGTAGGTTTTTGTTGGAGTGGGTTTTTTTTAAAAATAATATTGGAAGTGATAAATGCATTTTATGCCATTATATGAGGACTGCAGTTATATTTGGAGGCTAAAACCTCACCATGCTTTGCTGACTTGCATCAGTACATCCTCTAGGCTTAAAGGAATTCTCTATGCCTAAAATACAAAGCATCCCTCTGTCAACTATAGGGGTAACAGTCAAAGCTGGACAGATAACAGTAGTGGAGAAGGTGCTCAGATTTTTTTAGATGTCATGCAAGACAGGGAAGAAAGGCCCAGAAGGTTGAAAGCTTTTATTGTTAAAGTGAAAATCTCTTACAGCAAAATAAATTACACCAGCTCTCATTTTTGCAACAGTACCATTTCTAAAATTCTCATGGTCCATATACTGAAATATGATTTGGCATAATGTTTTGGGAAGCGTAGAAGGCCTGAATAACATAGGTTACATTAAGTACAGATTGTTTTAAAACACAGGGAAGGATCAATATCTGACAAATGAAAAAACATGGCACAATTGAACACTGCGTTGTGAATATAGCTATGCTCTTTCATGCGAGGGTTAAAGCAGTGTTTAGAGAATTCGTTCTGTATATTGCTGCTGAAAATTTCAGATTAATACTGCATTTCCTTTGCCACAAGCACCTATTTTTTTCACATATAACTACTTCCTTGCAGTCACATGCAAGTTAGACAAAATAGAGCTGTTGGTAGATGAAACGATTTTCAGTGCATGTAGTAAAAATTAAGTCTCTGTATTTATGCCAAAATTATCTTCTCAATCGTTTAGTAATTGAAAGTGACTTCCAGAATTAGCTTAATTGTTTTGACACTTCTGGCATTTTGGTGTTTGGCACATAGGACTGGCACTTTGGTTCTATGCAGAAATCCTCATAGTTACACTATATGCTGTCTGATATGATATGTACAGATACACCAGGATTTGATCAGATTTTTGAGAGACTATTGTTTGAAGACAGTACTGATTTGTCTCTAGGAGAGTGTAGAACAGACGTACAATAAGCAATGCATAAAATAAAACAGCAAATGCAGTAATATAAAAAAAGAAAATTGCTATCCAGTTCAGATAAACTGGATGAACCCGATGAACTATTTGAGCCATTCATGGTATTTATAGATTCTAAGCAGAGCATGTATTTTGTTTTTTAGATGTCTCATTCATTCAAAGAAAGGTTTTTTTCTTTTTTCATGCCATACAAGGATTACCAAAATTATGAAATCTTTTTTGAGTGACCAGGTAGTTTGAGAAGAATTTGAGCTATTCTTTCATATTTTCTCTGACACTTATTTTGTCTTAGCTGTCGTTTTAGCCCCAATTAATAAAATACTTCTAGATCAATCAAAAACTGATAGTGAAGTCCAGCATCTGTTCTCTCAGACTGGAAGTCATTTAACAGATGGTAGAAAATTTGAGTTTCTTTTTTCATCCAGACCTCTCCTTCCTTATCGTGATAGCTACCACTGAAAAAGTTAGCGACTATAATCAGGGAAAAATGGGGATAACAAACATCTGAATTTGTTATTGAAGAAAAAGTGTGTGTTAGTTTGTGAAGGCAACTGTTAAGCTCTTCTGTCTGATTACAGTCACGGACCCATGGCCACGCTTTCAAAAACGGAAACTTCCCTCCTGAGGTCTCCAGAGTGGAACTCAAGGAAACATAGTTAGTTTAATGCACTCCTCTGAAAAATTCAGCGGCCGTAGCTTTGCTACAGCAATAGCCAAGTACTGGTCCAGCTGCTTTTTGGCTGTGAGTGGCCTGACTTCAGAAAGTGGGGTTAGCAGTAGGTATGAAGTCTTCCGCTGGAGATCTCCCTTGGAGTGAGGCCATGCTGTGTGGATCAGACGGTTGAAGCCTTGCGGGAGGAAGCATTCTTTGGCCACTTCATACTTGCTCAGCACTTGTCCCCAGCGCGCTGAGAGGGGCTGCAGTTTCAGGTTCTCTGCGCCAGCTCAGAAGTTCCTAGCTGGACACCTCTACTTAAGCTCCACTCTGATAAGGATGAGATGCAGTGAGGCAGAAAGTCTGAATTGTGGGGTGCTGTTGAATTGGTTTTTTGAACTTCTTGGAAGCAGAATACATTTTACTGCTTTTGCTCAGTCCAGTTCATCCAGGTAGTAATTGTTAAGGTGTAATTAAAACATCTGAACTTTCCTTTCTGGAGCTGTTACTTCTGTTTATCTCTCTTTTTGCCCAGGGACAGACTTCTCTTCTATCTTAAGGCTTGATCTGTCAGTAGTTTTAGATGGAGGATCGTGGTCCTATTATAACCTAATGGGAGCTTTGCATTAATTCTGGTGGGACTAAGGTTTCACCCCCTCTTTAACTTGCTGATTATTATGGGGATGCTATGTTCTGTGTGACTTTCTTTTCTTTTATAGTTGCATGTTTCCTCGTTAAATACTTTGGTTAACTTGGAGTTAATCAATGGGAATGGCTGATTAAATTGCATTTATCCATATTTAAAGATATAATGAGATTCTGGATCAATTGAAGAGCTGCTCCAGTGGCTCAATACAGTTTCAGTTTTTACCTAGATGTGACTTGAAATGGACTGTATTTTATGCATTGTGGACATATAATTTGCAGTTTTGGATAAGGTTCATATATAATCAGAACATTTTTATTTTTCAAGCCCTTGTTAAAAAGGGTCAAAACCTTCTCTGGTTCTTCTGGCCATTAATTGTGTTTGCAATGTATTAGCCTTCCTGATTAAGTGTCTGTAGATTAGCATAACATGAGCATGTGTAAGGATGCAGCTCCATGATTTTTTCCTTTTACGTACTATTTTATGTACATATGTAAACAAAGATATGCTACGATCGGAGCTTGGCTTTGAGGTAAAGGTTGTCAGTAGTACTCTCAAAACATGTGAGTGTTGTTATAAGAAATAGGCAGAAATGCTACTTCATCTGCTCTGGCTGTTTAAAGCAGGGCAGGGCAGAAACGGTCTTTCATGACACAACGATGGAATAACACTGTAGAGTCTGTAACTTGGGTTGATCCAGCGGATTTCTGCTAAGGCTTGAGCTAAGAGACTGCACTGCTATGAGGGTTGTCTTGTCTGTCTGATTTTAGAAGATGAAACTATTGTCCAGTAGGTTTACTTGCCATGACTAGGTCAGGTAGTTTTAATTTCTGGTCCCTTTGCATGTGTTAGAGTTTCAGTATTAAATTCTCACTTAGTTATATGATTCCAGGAGGT